AACAACATGCACTAAAAACTAAAAATACTATAATAAAAAATTTAATACAACAACGAGATAAAAATATAAAAGAAAAAAAAAATGAGTTAATGTATATATTTGGTTAATGTGACTTCGTTGATTTGACGTTATCTAAATTACATGAATATGTTAAGATGACAATATTAACAATAATTCATAATAATTATCATTGATTTCGATGAAATATGATAAATGCCATTTCATATATATAAATTCAACAATATGAAACAATAGTTTTGGTTAATAGGAACAAGATTGTATATTTTTGCAAATATACACAATTATTCTTTTGCAATATTTTTATTTCATTTGGACAAGACGAAACTTGTTTTTAAAAACTTTTTGTTTCTCTTTTTCAGTTTTTTCTTACAAAAGTTTATTTGTCTATTAAGTAATTTTAATTAGCTCATTGACTGTACTGTCTAATACTGAATTATTTTATAGATATGACTAATCAACTAATATTGCTCTAGATTCATGAATTTTTTCAATGTGCTCCTTTTGATTTAGTTTGTTTTGTTTCAACGTTGAATTAATAGATTTTTCATTTGCTTCTGTTTGTTATGATAATAAAGATGAAAAAATATTATATTTGTTGGTAATCTATTATAAAAAAAAAAGACAAACATACAGCAATCAACTTGAGATAAACAGAAACACGAGCTTTTCTGGTGATAATTGAAAGACAAATCCTTTAAAAATAAAGTGATCGAATTATTCGAGAAATAATATGAGAATCTTATTATTATTTCACTTTCCTAAGCTAAATTGAATTTTATTTCAAAATAAATTTAATTTACATATCTAATAATAACATGTTTATTTAATTAGAAAGTTAATCATGAATTAAATTGATTTTTTTTAAGTTTTATTTTTTAACTAAAGATAAACAATATTTATTTGATGAAATATGATGATGAAATGTCTAGTTGACTATGATTTCTAAAAGAAAAACAAAAGAAATATTAAATACTGATATTCATTACCCTTACTTTTGTTGATTGATTAATGTTGCTTGTTTTTGTTGTAATTCTTTTTCTTTATCCATCAGTTTTTTTCGTCGTGTAAGTTCGTAAATTTCATTTCCTACATGTATTATGAAATCATCAACATCTTTTAAAGATCTACATAACAAAAGAATTGTTTTGTTTTTCAATAAATCATCCATAAGATATCTTTTAAACTTACTCATCATTTTCATTAATAAAATTGTTTAGAGGGATTTTCAAATCTAATTGATTATATTCATCCTAGAAAAAGAAAAGAATTAAAGGTAATATGTAATAGTTGATATTTACCGTCTTCAATTCAATAGAAAAATTTTCATTATCAAAATATTGTTTGGTATGTATGAAGAAATTTTGTCCAAAATAATCAATATCAATTGAATTCGTTTCACTTTTTATCCAATCGATAGTTACTTGAAACTAAAACATAAAAGTTAATCAACTGAAAAAAAAAGACTAATTCTTACTATACGCATGAGAATTTCATATGAAAGACCATAAATATCTGTTGAATCATTTTCACTTTTTATCTCGTCCATAATTTTATTATACTAAAACAAAAAAGTTAATCAACTGAAAAAAAAAAAAAAATTGATTTTTACTTCGTTGTTATTCACCATTTGAAAATTTCGACTTAAAAAAGTCCAATGAACCAAAACGAGCAATTTTTCTCTTGGATGTTCGTACTTGTTTCGATGTGCATGTAAAAGAATGTCAAGAAATTTAAACCTATCTGTCATTGTTATCTATAAAAATAATGAATAATTAATTCTTCATTTACATAGGGAACAATAAATGATGCTTTAAATTGTAAACAAGTAGCAAGAAGTCCTATTGAGATAGATTTTAACTAATTATAAAATCGACTTCATTTCATTTAAAAATACAATTTTAATATGAACAAAAAAAATCATATTCATATTGCGAAATTTTTCAATAAAAACTTACATTTGTTTTTCACAATAACTTTCAATAATAGCAAACGTTTATATAACCTAAATAAAAGAAAACATTAGTTATTCATTTTTTTATAAGCAAAACAAACCGTACTTAGATCAAATAAATACAGGATGAGATAAAAACGTTTATTATAATATATCACTATTAGATATACTTTGATTTTGCTATTCACTCTTTTATTCTGATCTTCTGCTTATTTATGTCATATATATATATGTTGCTCGACGAAATTATAACTTCGTTAGACAAAATTGACGAAATTCTAATTATTTTGTCTGACGACAATATAACTCAATCAATTTTGTCTGACGAATTTATAATTTCGTCGAGCAATGTCACTTCTTTACGACATATACAGTGCTGGTCAACATTATCCGACCATCACAGAAAATTATATTATTAACTTTATATTTCAATGATAGAAGACGCTATAGAGCTTTGACTTCCTGTAAACTGTTCTAGTATATATGCACCAAATTTCATCTAATTCTATCAAACTGTTGTTTTTATTGACATATTCGTCTTGTTGAATATTTTCTTGATAAAAACTTAAATGGTAATATAACAGATAAACCAAATACAACAGATAAAAAAACGATTTGCTTTTAAGTAAAATTGAAAGTAAACTAAAATCATTTCGTAGATGTGTATTGAGACAGTTGTATTGACGATAGAATGAAATATATATAGGAATATCGTCTTATTATTCATCAAATAAAAGTAATATACTTTTGATAAATATTGAAAAAATACATTTAACGGACGATAATAAAGGTATTTATACCTCTATCACCTATTCATTTGGAAAAAAATTCATTTTAGCCACGACTTTTCTCAACAAATCATTATCAACAAAAAGAATCTGTTCAAAAGACGACTTCAACAAATGGTTTGACCGAATTCAATTTAACTATGGGTGTGGGATGTGTTTGTTGGTGTGAGTGGTGTGTGGTTGTAGATGTGTGGATTTGGAGTGTGAGGGTGTAGGTGTCAAAGAAAAATAATAGCATACACTCACATCCAACTTTATTCTCAATGGAAATACTCAACAGATCGTGTTTTTTCCAAATTATTCACCTCCCAAAATCTTAGGACGCGAATTCGCGTCGCCCGTACTCAAAGGGTTAATAGTTGGATAGATTCTCTGATAATATGTCTATAATGAGTCGTTTCTAACGTGTCTGTATGAGTAAGTGCTAATTTCTACCTTATTATATTAATTGAAGAATGAATAGAAGAAATCTAGAGCATCAGTTTTTACTATTAGATAATAGAGAGAGAAAGTTTGTTTAAGAGTCCTCCCTTATTCATGACCTAAAGTTTTTTTTTATTCAATAATTATTCTAATCCTAAATGACAAAAATTTCTATTTAAATTCTTTGTCTTTGTGTTTTAAAGAATCTTAAAATAGATTTGTTCAAACTCGTTGATCATCACGTTTAAAAGAAAAATCTCAACCAATTAATCAATATCGTTGATCAACTATAAAACGTCGTTTAAGTAGAGAACTTCAAACAAAATCAACATAAACAAATTATATATTAAATAATGAATATAAATATTTCTATAGATGATCATTATAAAAAGAATAAATAACAAATAAATGTAAAACAAGATATTATATTATTGAAATATATCATAAATCAATTCAAACAGATTTTTAAATTAAATCAGATAAATCAACATATAGAGATTTTATTGATCAACCATTTTGTGAAAATAGTACACAAACAAAACAAATATATGAACAATAAAGACAAACAATTGATCTTAATTGTCCAAATGATTGAAAACGTTTATTTATGTCAGAGAAGAACAAGTCAAATAGAATGTTATCGTATATTAACATAATTATCACCATATATAGATTTATCATTAACAAATAGTTATTATGATCATTGACAATTATTTCAAACTCTTTCAAATACAGAAGAACATCCAAATGGTGGTGCAACTCTTATACCTACATATTATAATCAATTTCTATGTTTATCAAATGAAAATATTCATTTATTTCTTAATTTTTTTTTAATCTTGTTTATGGTGAAACAAATAAACGTGCTCAATATCCTATTGGTGTTATAGATGATGGTAAAACGATATTTACCTGATTTAGTTGATTATTTTAGTGTTAACATATCGAAAAATGATTGTTAAAACAACAAATATATTTAATTGAAAAGATATTTTAATAACAACTATCGGACGAATATAGAAATCATTTTCTACAAATTTATTCAAATCGAACATTTCGTATCGACCATTAATCAGTATATCATTTGTTGGGACGACTACCGGAAAAGAAGAATGTCGGAAGAAAAAATAAAAGAATTCATTGTTTTTTTCCTAACCAATCAATGTAATGTGTCAATTTATCAAATATACCTTGTAGAACTGACTAACAGAGAGAATATAGATAAGAATCTAGTGTCCTGCACTTTACACAGAGACTTACGGTTTTCACTGTTCAACGAGAGAATAGAATATTCGAACCCATCGAAATTTGATTGGTTAGAAATTGACTAATCACATCAGTTCTTTGTGGACGATGCTCGAAAACGATATTTTCAAGCTATTTACCTTTTCAATCTAAGCAAGACCGATATTCCTAACTTGTTCTCTTTGACAATTCTAACACTTTTTTTCTGAGAATCTCGATTTCAGCCAATTGACCTGTGATCATTCGGAAAAGTAGTTAGGCAGAGCTAATTCATTATCTATCCGAAATAATTTGACACTATTACATAGATCGAAAAGAAAAATTATCTTCAAAATATCATCTTCGAAAATCTTCACCAACAACTCATCTCATTGGTCAATTTGATGACCAATTCGATTTCGATATGCTTCAGTTTAGAACACTTACAATACACTGATATCTTCATGATCAAAAATATTAGTTATTTTCACTATGTTACACTGACTTCGGAAACGAGAGTCAAAGACAGATATGGAAATTTTCAATCTTCTTCCATAATAATATTACAACAGGATGATTTAGTTCCGTAGCTAATCAACGGAAGTCTTTCAACTGTTGAGCTATGATTCAGGCCCAAACTTTTCTTAACATATTCATAATGATATACTTAGCTCAGTCGAAAAGTAATGGTGGAGGTCTTGTAATTCCTTATAGGAAGCTGTTGAGGAACTTTTTTTTCTATACACTCTTATAGAGAAAAGAGTAAAGACCTGCACGGAGTTGTTTTCGGAGTCGCCGTCGGAGTCAGTTAAATTGTTTGCCGAAAATTTCGTTTTATCATAAGAAATGTATTGACTTGGAGGTTTTCTTCTTAGATATTTAATGCATAAGCTGATGCATTTTCAAGGTTCCAATCACATCTAATCAAGGTTTGTGAAGATGAAAGAAAATCGGAATCAGATTCAACTCCGATTTTCTTTCATGTTCATTAACCTTGATTAGATATGGTTCGAACCTTGAAAGTGCATCAGCTTATGCATTAAATATCTGAGAAGAAAATCTCCAAGTCAATACATTTCTTATGATAAAACGAAATTTTCGGCAAACAATTTAACTGACTTCGATGGCGACTCCGAAAATGACTCCGTACAGCCCAGGTCGAAAAAGCACGATCGTAAACGGTCGTATACGAAGAAATACGTCTAGAAACGGTCATCGTATACGATGCCGTACGTTAAATTACGATCACCGTATACGTTGAAAATAAACGACTGTCGTGTACAAGTGTAGTATACAACCGTATATAGTCGTAAGTTAGTCGTAAATTCCCAGGTTAAAAACCTGACGTCAGATCGTGCAAGATCCGAAATGATTTTACCCTTATAAGATTTTCTCTATGAGCTTGTCACAAGAGCATATGATTTCTCATGTGTTCACTTTTTCAAGATTTTCTCAGATTTTGACCATAAGATGTTAGCAAAAAATTTACAAAAATTAAAGATTAAGAAACGTATAAGTGCAGGCTGAATTTTTTTTCTCAGGTCTTATCAGATCATATAAGATTCATGTAAAAAGAAACATATGACAGTACATAATGTAGATCTTTTCTGTTCTTACCTGATGGTGTATGGTCTCTCCTGTTCTTTCACTTATTCGAGAATTGTTGATTCGATTAGTTCTACTATGAAAAAGAGTGATTAAAACACAGGATTAAGCTGTGTATCTAATTTATTCTAGTACTTTTCTCTAGTGATTATATAGAAAATCTTAATCTCCATTTCTTATTTTTCTATATTAATAATATAGAAAATTTGAATTTTCATTTCTTATCTTCCTAAACTTATAGCATAGGAAAGAGTAATTTAATTTTAATCTTTCTATATTTAATAAAATTGAAAACCCTAATTTTCATTTTTTATTTTTCTATATTTGATATTATATAAAATCCTATTCATTATTTTTCATTTTTCTATACTGGTAGTATAGAAATTTCCATTTTTCTTTCTTATTTTTGTATTTTGACAAAATAGAGAATCCTATTTTTGCCTCTCATTTTTCTATATTAATAATATAGAAAATTATATTTTTTAATTCTTATTTTTCTATGTTGATAATATAGATAACGATTGGTTTTATTTCTTATTTTTCTATATCAATAATATAAGAATCTTGATATTCATTTCTTGTTTTGCTAAATTGGTAGTTTAGAAAATCTTATGTATTATTTTTCATTTTTTATAT